CCTGAAACTGTTGAAGAAGTAGAAATTCAAGGTAATCTTCGAAACTTTATTTACTACTTTGTTCATTTTCAAAACTGACATTTAATAATTTCTTATATAGTTGAAAATGCTGGAACGCGCAAGACTCGAGGACGTACCACTTTAAAGGAATTATACCAACTTCCTCCTGGGCATCGTGTCAAAGTTTCAAGAAACGATGCCGGTCAACCTATTGGCCCAGAATCACGTCTTCTAGCAGGTTACTTAGGCATAGTTGGACGTAATGCGAATCTGTTACCGATCAATTATGAGTCATCGCGCAAAATGCCTAATAGTAATAAAAATCAAGCGTTGGATTTTGTTAAGGTAATAATGTCATTATAATAGATACTCTATATAAATTCAATACTAATTTATACTTACGGTGCACACTTATTGCTGTATAGGAGAAATTTGTTTTAGAGGTCTCTGACGATTATGTGAAGCAAGCGTTAGGGAAGAGATGGAGGGATCACAAGAGCTCCTTAAAGAAGAAATACTTCAAGAATGATCTCAGCCTTGAAGAGAAGTTGCAAACAGTCCCACCAGGAATGCTCAGGTACCAATGGGAAGATGCAGTCAGATTTTGGAGTTCTCAAAAAGGACAGGTATGATGTATTTTTCATAAATACTTGTAACAAAATTTAAATCATCATTATAAGTGGTTGTTTGACATTGTAGGACCGAGAGCATGTTGGTGTTGCTAGTAGGCAACAACAAAAGTTTACGCACACGGCTGGATCGAAGAGCTTTGCTTGTATAGCTCATGAGGAGGTATTATAGATTATTGAAATAGTTTTTTGTATTCCATGTACATACTAACTCATAGTAATTACATTATGGTACATTGTAGGAAAATACATCCGGTTCTAAAGTTGGTCGAATCCAACTCTTCGACATGACACATACGAAGAAGGATGGCACTCCTATGACTGCTGACGCTGCAGAAATTATGGTACGTTTATTGGGTAGATGTTTTAAATTTACCTGACTTTATTTATATTTGTACCATGACATTTTTTATTTTAATTAATTATTCACTTTATTATTAGGAAAAATTGAGGGAGAAAAGGGCAGAGTATCATGCTACTGCTTCGAGTCAAGGTATTGTTAATGATGATGACATTGAAAACCAAGCTATTAATGACGTTTTGGGTCCTGAAAGATATGGTCGGGTGCGCTGTCAAGGATCATTCGTTACTCCCACCAAATATTTTGGATCCAGTTCATCACAGTACATGTTATCACAGTCTCGATCTTCCCAATTAAAAGTTGGTCGTTTAAAAGAAAAGTTGGCTGAGATGGATCAACAAATGGCTAACTTGAAAGCGGAAAATGAAGCAAGGGAAACAGAGAGAGCAGCAGCGGAAGCAGCTAGAGCAGCAGCGGAAGCAGCGGCAGCACAGAGAGAGGCAGCGGCAGAACAGAGAGAAGTAATATATCAGCAGAGATGTAAAGAATTTGAAAAACGACTCAATGATATGATGCTGATGATACAAAAAACGCAACCTTAGAATCCACCATCGTAGCCTCATTTATGTTATGAGCATTATGTTAATGTTACTGAACCGTGTTTAACTTAACCTATATTACGTTAATGAAAACTTTTATTTATTATATTGGATTTGATGTTATTGCTGTTTTGTTTGTTAGATAATGGAACAGGTTGAAAAAACAGATTTGGGGTATTAAGTATAATTTTTAGAATTGTTAAATTCTGTGTTATTTAGCGGCGTTTGTAACAAAATGCTGCAATATACCATACATTTAGCGGCGTTTTTGATAAAAACGCCGCAAAATCTCAATACATATTCTGCGGCGTTTTTAGGAAAACGCCGGTAAAAATAAAAATTTACTGCGGCGTTTTTGAAGAAAACGCTGCTAAACATCAACGACTATTGCGGCGTTTGTCTGCCAAATGCCGTTAAATATCAAAACCTATTGCGGCGTTTTAATGATAAACGCCGCTAAATATCAATACCTTTTGCGGCGTTTGTTGAACAATCGCCGCTATATGTTGTAACCTATTGCGGCGTTTTTTTGTTGAAAAACGCCGCAAACTTTAGCTGCGCTATTTTTAGCGGCGCTTTTAGCGGCGTTTTTTTACGCCGTATGTGTTTTTAGCGGCGTTTAAAAATGCCGCTAGAAATAAAAAAATGCCGCAATAAGCCAATTTTGCTGTAGTGATATATATGATGTATTAATTATATATTTGATAAGCTTTCAATCTTAAATTTCATTTGACATATTTTATTTTATATTTTGGGAGGTTTGAATAGAGACTTAAGTCTTCTCTTTAGGAATTAAGTTTATTTAGCCATCCAAAACTTGAGAAATTAAATGTATATTTAGAAAGCTGTCGCTACAATTTTTCATTTGATATCTTTCATTTTTAATTTATACAGAATTGACCTATAATTATAAAATTGAATTTAGAGTTTCAAGTTATATGGGGATCAAAATTCTAAATTAAATATACTATGTCGTTATCAAGAAATTATATTAATGAAGAAAAAGGAATTTGATGATGATGATTTTTTTTACGATGTGTTCAATCTTTTAATGAAGAATGAGGTGAAAGTCAAAACTTTATTAGCTAAAAATACAAAGCATAAGAAAATTTGACTTCAAAAGTTTATCCAAAATCAAGATGTGTACTTTTAATGTAACGTCATATTATTTAAACACTTAAATAATATTTTAGCTTTAATATATTGTAATACTATTTATGACAATATTATTGGTTTGATATGTTATATTAATAATTATTGACTTTGATAATATTATTGTCTTATTATGACTGTATAATATTATTGCTTTAATATGGTGTAGTATTAATTGTACATTGTGACTTCGTCAAATGATCTTTGTGATAAGAGTGAGTGTTATTTTTAGTGATAGACATGAGTTAGGTTTTTGGTCAACATGACCAGATAAAAATATAATTTCTACTTGAAACTCGATTTAACGTGGGTTTAGGGTGACTTCACCCGATTCAATAAAAATACAACTTTCACTTGAAACTTGACCCAATTTGGGTTTAGGGCGACTTTACCCGACCCAATAAAAATATAACTTCCACTTGAAACTCAGCCATAAAAATATAACTTCCACTTGAAGCTTGACTCAACCTAAGTTTAGGGTGACTTTACTTGATCCAATAAAAATACAACTTCCACTTGAAACTCGACTCAACTTGGGTTTAGGGTCACTTCACCTGACCCAAAACCTAATTCTCCTTTTGAGATAAAACTCGTACTCGACTCGACCCGATCTAATATGATCCGATCCGACTCGACACATGTATATATAATTCTTAAATTTACTTGATAAAATAGGGATCAAATTCAAAAAGGATATAGAGGGGGTATTATTGTAATTATCTCTAAATATATAAGGCATAATTACATTATTTTTCGGGTTGGGTCAAATATTTTTTTACCTTAAACCGATCTGATCCGACCCGAACTCATAATCCAAAAAATTCAATCCGACTCGAACCTAATTTTTTTAAAAAAAATCTAACTCAATAGAGTTGTATCGAGTCTGATATTTTTCACCCTAAACCTAATCTGACCCGAACCGAATTATAATCCAAAAAATGAGACCCGACATGAACCCGATTTTTTTATAAAAAAACTAACCCAATAAAATTGGATTGGGTCAAAACTCGTAAGGTTTTATTCCCGTGCTCATCCATAATCATTCTCCATATAGGTATGAGGTTTGAACAATTATGTTTACACGAAAATTAACCAGACAACATAAAATATTTTACACTGTAATATCCAAACAACATAAACTATTTTTCAGAAATATGATTCATTTTTTTTAAAATTGTTTTACCATTACATAAAAATTAACTAAAAACATATAAGATAAATATAAAAAAAGTAATACATGCAATATGAGACTATATGATGCAAGACTAACTAAAATGTCATGAAGTTATGCCAAGACACTTGAAAAATAAACTAATTGCAAGTTAAAATATGTGGATTTAGTTAAAATTAATTTGGAAAAACATTATTCAAAATGCATACATGTCAAACACCGAATCTATCCACATATCAAAATTATAGATTTTTTAAATAATTTTATTATAAACTTCTGTCCCTTACTTTATATTATATATATATGATTTCTATGTATTAGAGTGTAATATTAAAAAATATTTTCTATATGCATGTACAGTCATCACTTGCAAGTTGCAATGATCAAGCAAGAAACTGAAAAAAAGAATAAAAAATCAAAAGAATTCTTGATGTCTTGTTTCATTGTTACTTGGTTCTGCAAAACTTTAGAAAAAAATTTCATGATCCTCGTTTGCATCGCAGAACCCTCAACTTTATTTTATTTAATATTTGGCGATAATCTACATGCACATCGTATAAATCCCCAGAAATTGTAAATATTTTATCGAAATTAACTCCTTAGACATTGTCATCATGCTCCTTGCCTGAAGTCAATGTCTTAGACATTATGTAATAGTAATTTTCTTATAATATTTGACATTATAATGAGTTTATCACCCCCGTTTGTAATTTTTCAAATATTTCACATTAATTTAACAGAAAAATTACTTAAAACACATTAATGTGCATATTTAGGTAATAAATAACCAGAGCTGGCTAGAGGGGAGCACTCTAAGCTATTGCTTAAGGCCCTGTACCGGTTATAGGGGAACACTCTGAACTATTACTCATGGCTATGAGCCGGCCTATAGGGAGCACTTCGAGTTATTGTTCAAAATCGAGTAAATAATCAAGTAAAACCAGAAGAGAATAGCAGTTCAATCTTCTGGAGCAGTTACCAAAGTTACAAACATATGTCATACATAAACTGCATCAATACTTTGTTTTCAACTGGATATAGCTGCGGGGAATACCAAGTTCCCGTAGAGGAACTATCTATATAAGGATAAGCGTGCAGTAAAGTAGTATACTGCAATTCAAACATTATTCTCCATTCCTTTGATCAATATGAAGACAAGTGCTAAGCAGCTGCAAATAATGGATGCCATTTGTCTATTTACTCTTGTTTTCATGTTTATTGTTATTTTAACAGTTGCTGATGAAGTGGGAATTTTGGCGATGAGCAAAGAAAATGGGAAAAGCAGCCTCTCAACATACATTGTTCATCTTAGGAAACCGGAGGGAGTCTTTGCACAAGCAATGGACTTGGATGATTGGTATAAATCATTCCTTCCCGACACCGTCACCGATCAACCAACACGGATGATTCATTCGTATCGGAATGTTGTGACAGGATTTTCTGCGAAGTTAACAACTGAGGAAGCAGAAGCAATGAGAAGAAAGCATGGGATCATATCTGTGAGGACTGAAAAAGTATATTTCTTACAAACAACACACAGTCCTGATTTTCTGGGGTTGCAACAGAATCTTGGATTTTGGAACCAGTCAAACTATGGTAAGGGAGTCATAATTGGGGTTTTAGACACTGGAGTAACCCCAGGTCACCCTTCGTTCAGTGACGAAGGAATGCCTCCGCCGCCTGCGAGATGGAAGGGGAAATGTGAATTTGAAGGTGGGTGCAATAACAAGCTGATTGGTGCAAGAAGTTTTGTAGAAGGTGAGATAGGGAATCCGGCTGATGAGGATGGTCATGGCACTCACACATCAAGCACAGCTGGTGGAAATTTAGTGAATGGTGCAAATGTTTTTGGCAATGCCAATGGCACAGCTGCTGGCATGGCACCTTTAGCTCACTTGGCAATGTACAAAGTATGTGGAGCAGACTGTTCGGAAAGTGCAATATTGGCTGCAATGGACGCTGCTGTTGAGGATGGAGTGGATGTTCTCTCACTCTCATTAGGTGGTGGTTCAGTTCCTTTCTATATGGACTCAATTGCCGTGGGAGCATTTACAGCTATTCAGAAGGGTATATTTGTGAGCTGTTCTGCTGGAAACGACGGTCCTTCCTATGGTTCCTTATCAAATGAGGCTCCGTGGATTCTTACGGTTGGAGCAAGCACCATTGACAGGACCATTGCAGCGGTAGCGAAGCTAGGGAATGATTTAACTTTCGATGGTGAATCCCTTTATCAGCCTAAAGGTTTCCCTTCAACGTTACTGCCTCTTGTGTATTCAGGGGCAAACAGTAAGGCAGCGTCGGCATTTTGTGCCCCTGGATCATTGAAAGATGTTGATGTCAAAGGAAAAGTGGTTTTGTGCGAACGAGGTGGTGATGTAGGAAGAATTGACAAAGGCCAAGAAGTGAAAAACAATGGTGGCGCTGCCATGATCCTCATGAATGATGAACTTAATGGCTTCAGTACCATAGCCGATCCTCATGTGCTTCCGGCAACCCATGTGAGTTACCAGGCGGGTTTGAGCATCCAGGAGTACATAAACTCAACAACGAACCCAACTGCTACAATCATGTTCAAAGGTACCGTACTCGGAAAGCTATCGGCTCCTGAAGTCACTTCTTTCTCCTCAAGAGGCCCAAATATGCAAAGCTCAGGGATCTTGAAACCAGATATCATTGGCCCTGGTGTGAGCATTCTAGCTGCATGGCCAGTTTCAGTGGAAAACAAAACAAACACGAACTCAACATTTAACATGATTTCTGGAACCTCAATGTCCTGCCCACATCTCAGTGGAATTTCAGCTTTACTCAAAGGCTCCCATCCAGAATGGTCTCCAGCTGCTGTCAAATCTGCAATAATGACCACAGCTAACTTGGTTAACCTCGGAGGGAACCCCATTGTTGACCAAAGAAACATTACCGCTGACATCTTCGCCACTGGTTCAGGTCATGTTAACCCATCAAAAGCGAATGACCCTGGACTCATCTACGATATTCAACCAGATGATTACATTCCTTACTTATGTGGATTGAACTACACCGATGATGAGGTTGGAACCATTGTTCAACGATCGGTAAACTGCTCCAATGAATCAAAAATAGCTGAAGCTGAGCTAAACTATCCTTCATTCTCTATAACATTATCTGCTAGTTCTCAGACATACACGAGAACGGTGACAAATGTTGGTCCAGCAAGCTCAACTTACACCTACCAAGTCCTTGCGCCAACAGGGGTGGATGTTAGTGTAAGACCCGAAAAGATTGGTTTTACAGCGGTGAACCAGAAGCAAACTTACTCGGTTACATTTAGCAAACAAAACAACACCAACGGCCTCCTATTTTCCCAAGGACTTATCAAGTGGATTTCTGTTCAACATGAGGTTACAAGCCCCATTGTTGCCCTATTTAAATGAGAAAATAGTCCGAGCAGCTTGAGCTTTGCAGCAACGTAAAACTGAAGCAATCCCATGCAAGGCCAACTTTTCATACCAAAACTGTTTGCAACTGTATCATGAATATTATTTTATTATCCGCAGCCGGCTCAAATATATATACATATCTTTGAAAGTACTGAGACAAGCATATCAAACAAGTACCCTTAAATATACATTCAAGTAAATGAACACTAAGACGGCATCTTTGTTGCCGGTTAAACTTGATTAGAGAAATAAATACAAATGAATAGGATAACTATAATACTCCAACACCAGATGTTAACATATATTGAGCCTCGCATGAAGAAACATGCCATCTTTCTCCTTCTTGCTAGTATATATATTGGCTAGAGAGGAGCCATTTTCCATCAAACATGGATATGAGACACTTCCTATGTTTCATTTTCCTGTTCAACTTTCATTCTTTGTTTGTTCAAGGAAATGAATTTTCTTCTGCAATTGGAAATGAGAAGAACAAGTTCCAGACTTACATTGTCCAAGTTGAGCAGCCTGATGTAGGAGTTCGTGGACAATCAGAGAGCTGGATGTTGAAATCTGGCACAAATCTTTTCTGCCATTGATTACTGCAAGCTCAGATTCGCAGCCAAGTATGGTTTATTCGTACAAAACAGTCATCAGCGGCTTTTCAGCTAGACAGACAGCGGAGGAGTGCAGGCCATGAGAACGAAAAAGGGATTCATCTCAGCGCGTCCTCAACGGAAACCACGTACACAGACAACGCATACACCACGCTTTTTGGGGCTGCAGCAGGAATTAGGAATATGGAAAGAATCGAATTTCGGCGAAGGTGTGATAATTGGCGTGCTGGATGGTGGAGTTTTGCTTGACCATCCTTCATTCAGTGATGAAGGAAAGTCACCTCCACCGGCAAAATGGAAAGGAAGACGTCAATTTACAGCCTGTAATAACAAAATAATTGGTGCAAGGTCCTTCAATATTGATGGAAATCTGATAAAGGAAACTGCGGTGAACCGCCTATTGATGAAGATGGACATGGGACTCATACAGCCAGCACGGCTGCAGGTCGGTTTGTAAATCACGCTGAAGTGCTGGGAATGCCAAAGGTACGGCTGTTGGGATGGCACCACTTGCTCATCTGGCAATTTATAAAGTATGCTTCAGAGAAGACTGTGCAGAGAGCTACATACTAGCTGCACTAGATGCTGCTATTGAGGAAGGTGTCGATGTTCTTTCAATCTCTCTTGGTGAAGAAACTGTTCCCTTTTTCCAGGACAGCATAGCTGTAGGCGGATTTGCAGATATGAAGAAGGGAATATTTGTTAGTTGCTCAGCTGGAAATTCTGACCCTTCCGACACCACATTATCAAATGAAGACCCATGGCTTCTCACAGTTGGAGCAAGCACCATAGATCGAAAAGTTGTAGCCACGGCAAAGTTTGGAAATGGAGAAGAATTTGACGGAGAATCCGATTTCCAACCCAACGACTTTCCTTCAAGCAGTTACCACTTGTTTATGCCGGCATGAACGGTAAACAAGAGTCATCATTTTGCGGTAAGAGGGCACTGAAAGATATAGATGTCATAGGCAAGGTGGTTTTATGTGAAAGAGAAGGTGGAATAAGCAAGAGTCGCTGAAGGACAGGAAGTGAAAATGGCTGGTGGTGCTGCCATGACTCTCGTGAATCAACAAGCTGATGCCTTCAGTCTTTCAGCTGATGTTCATATTCTTCCAGCAACCCACGTAAGCTATGCTGCTGGTCTGAAGATAAAAGCTTACATAAATTCATCAGCAGCACCTACAGAGACAATCTTATTTAGAGGAACCGTCTTAGGAGATCCGACATCTCCATCTGTCTCTTCCTTTTCGTCAAGGGGCCCTAGCCTGACAAGCCCTGGAATTCTGAAACCGGACATTATCGGTCCAGGCGTGAATATTCTAGCAGCATGGCCATTTCTTCTTGACAATAACATGAACTCGAAATCCACTTTCAATTTCATGTCTAGAACATCAATGTCATGCCCTGATCATCCCAGTGGCATTGCAGCCTTGCTCAAGAGCTCTCATCCTAACTGATAACCAGCTGCCATTAAATCCGCTATGATGACTTCTACTGACTTATTCAATATTGCAGGCAAACCCATCGTTGATGAAACACTTGAGCCTGCCGATATCTTTGCTACCGGTGCCAGCCTTGTTAATCCATCTCGGGCAAATAACCCGGGACTCATCTACGATATCTAACCTGATGATTATATTCCATATCTTTGTGGTTTGGGCTACAAAGATGAAGTTGGTATAATTGCACATAGATCAGTCAAGTGCTCAGAGAAACCTAGCATACAGGAAGGAGATCTAAACTATCCATCATTTTCTGTCAAACTGGGACCATCTCAGGCATACATGAGGACTGTGACAAATGTTCGAGTGGCAAATTCATCCTATGAAGTTAAGGTTATAGCTCCAAAAGGAGTTGATGTGATTGTAGAGCCTACCAAACTATACTTCTCAGAGCTAAACCAGAAGGCAACCTACTCAATAACATTTACTCCAGTTGTTTCAACCTATAAAACTGGTGAATACGCTCAAGGGTATCAAATGGGTTTCTGCTAAACATTCTGTTAGAAGCCAATCGCAGTTAAGGTTCAAGTTTTATTCACCTCATCGTATGTGCAAAATAGTTTTGGTGAAAATGACCCACTCAACAGTTATCAATGAATATAAAAATTTCTATTAAAAGAACGTCAGTACTTCTTTGTAGTATATTACATGAATATCAGAAGATTGGAAGAGATCATAGTAAAACTTTGTTATGTCTCTTATTTGGCCATTTCAAATGAAATTTGATTCCTATATATATATATGCAGACAATCATCCAAATTGATATTTAACTAAATAGTCATCACTTAAAGATAGATATAATTATTTAAATAGGAACCCTAAACCCTAAAATAGACAACCTTGTGTAAACTTGTATCAGATAATTTTTTTTATCACAACTAGTCAAAATATGCAATTTTATCACACATTATGGTGAATAATTGGTGTATGAAAGAGGGAATAGATAATGAAGGAGTTGGAGCATGTACTGCCGTTGATATATGTACAAGTTCGCAATCTGCCCCTTGTAAAAATTCTACAATCAGTTCATAGAATAAGTGCATATATGTGTACAACACGACGAAATTATGAGTCAAAATCGCATCTCAAGTATCGATTTGAAGAACATTTTTTACTTGCACTAAGTCACCACCTTGAAGTAAATTTGAGCTCCATCAGATGAAAATGGACAAAAGAAAAAAAAACCATGCATCTCCAGCTGTAGAGCTGGAAAAAACCCTAGGGTAAGTTATGCTTCCTCTTGCGAGAATGGCGACGCTCAGTTACCAAACCCTTTCAGCAAATGCATCAAGCTGAGTGAGTAAAAATGCAAATAATCAAATTGAAATATTCAGTGCTAAATTTGTATAACTCACGAATAATCTCCATGCTTTCCACTAGTCAACTCTTGTCCAGTCTGAGATGGTGTCGTCACCTGCTAACAACACACTACTATATTAAAAACATTAGGTTCTGTATACATGTCTCTGTGCTTGTGCAACAATGCAAGATCAAGCTATGGTGTATATAATAAATCAGAAGTACCAACACCCAATCAGAGACACGGATACTCATTTGCTGCTCCTAGGGCAAGAAAGGGTACAGGACGAAGTTCGGACCCTGTATGAAAGAAAATCTAAAGAGAGGACATGTACTTCCATACAGAGTTGAGATAGTAGTCTACCAGCTAGTGTTCTATAACTCTAATACAGCTAACCAAACAGTCCAAAATAGGATCCCGGGCATCTTGACAGATGCTATTAGCTGGTGGTAGCATATCATAAACATAAGTAACTCTTATTAAATTATTGACACATTTAATGGACTGACTAGGCAACTTATGCAGTAATGCATTGAGAAATAATGGTAGTAGATATAAAAGTACACAAATAACCAGAACCAGAGTCATTAAGAGAAAGTACACTGACATGGCGGCATAGTTGTTTGCTGATTCTGCCATGGGCTTCTGGGTACTCTTCATATGTCTGCAGCAGAAATCAAGAGTAAGACATAAAAAAGAACAAAGATTAAGATATAAGCAAGCAGAGAGGGTACTCCTATTTTTTCCTTTTGCGGTCTTTGTCTATAGACTGGTCATGACTCATGCATCAGTCAAAAGTTTAATAAAGTGCGCCAATCTTAATGTCAGCAGTTGATTAAGGAAACACAACATTGAGAACATGGAAGATGTGACAGTTTTCACTATGCTGAATTCTTCCCAGTAAAGAAAGAGGAACGTAAAGTAATGGTTTAAGGACTCTTGGTAAATACTAACCTGAGAAACCTAGCTTCTCTGATTAATCACATTTTATACAACCACAAAGAAAGTATCCACTTAGCATAAAAGGATATAAATTAAACTCAAAACAGAATATTAAATAAAGCACAGACAGGTCCCCTATTTCAAGGAAATCGCCCTCAGTCAATGTACTAGCAAGAGGCATACTATGTATTGCTTGCTTGCTTTCTGCACTAAAGTAATGCTTTTCCCCCCTCTTCTTTTAGTCTATTTGGAATTTTCTTGTGGACTTTAGAGTCAATGGTTGCTGTTTATGAAATTATCATGAGATGTTTAAACTTTTCAAAAAATGTAGACATATCATGATTGGTAAGATTTCAGTTGATGTGAGAATTTTTCATACTTGCAAATTTTGATGCTCCCATAGTGGTAGGAAAATAGTCGGTAGCCAAAGTATGTGGAATGAGAAAGGGATTGTAAGGCATGGGCGTACCAGCCCAAGACATGCGCAGTGGAGGCACATTATAATCTTCATCTCTTAAAGAATATGGAGGTTCGAGGCAAGGCCTTTTCAAAGCTAGATCATCCCTGCTAAAACCATTCCAGTGTGAATTCTTCAAATTCAACAAGGCTCTCGAATTGACTTCAATAGAATGCATAACTCGAAGATACCTGTTCAGTGAAACATCCACATCGTTACTCACATCTAGTAGCTCACAAAGAGCTTCCCCTATATCTTGAGGTAATTCCTACAAAGAAAATGTGAATCCGAATCTTAGTGTAAAGGGGGGATGCTTATTAAAAAAAACAATACCATCTAATATAAGGAAACCTGGCAATCTCTGCTGATTTTGACTCGCTTGTAGTCATTCAATGGGTTCTTAAGGTATAGAGTTTTTTGGAAGGGCAGGTGATTTAAACAAAGCCATTTGACCTTAAAACTCCAGCCCCAAGGATTACCTTTACCACTTCGTTGGCTCCAAACATTGTCTCGCCTCCATCCAACAGAAGATATCATTTGTGCATAACCATGGAGGAAACCACTCATGTTGACACTAAATATTAAAATAACACTGCCAGAATTCTGCAAGACAAGAAAACCCCCCAGTATAAAACATCTAAAAGATCACATAAATGATTGCACATGATTAAAGTAAGAGGGATTTAACATGAAAAGCTTCTTCCGGAATTGGCTCATTCATGACTTGAGTAGCCAAAATTCCTTTTTTAATCGATAGTTGAATATTTTGGTGGTTCAAACTCTTAATGATGAAATATCTTGTATTACACAATTTGTCCCTTTTGTCTGCCACCTGGGAATGCTCTAGCTCTTGTGACCTAACAGGATAACCATCGCCGTTATCTGATAAAAACCAGATTGACACTTCATGAATAAAACATGAAAATATAAATTCAGAAAGGCATTTACCGTATAAATGATTCTGTACACTATGAGAATTGTAGAAAGTGGGCATAGTCATCAGCAATGTGTCCATAAACTAGATTCATTGTAACAAACCTTGGCCGCCAGAACCAATTTACCAAAAAGAGAAGAAGAAAAAGACTATGTAGTTTCACTCCATTAACAATGCATACTATCCTAAATACTGTATCACAAAGAGAAGTGAACACATTTCACTCCCGCTATGCTGCTTGTTTCCTGTTTAAAGTCTTATCTTCGCAGTTTCCATAACCATCAGCCAATCCAAATGAAAAAATAAGTTCACTTTTTATGGATTCAGATGCAAGAAAAAGACTGTAGTTTCACTCCATTAACAATGCATACTATCCTAAATACTGTATCATAGAGAAGTGAACACATTTCACTCCCGTTATCCTGCTTGTTTCCTGTTTAAAGTCTTATCTTTGCAGTTTCCACAACCATCAGCCAATCTAAATGAAAAAATAGGTTCACTTTTTATGGATTCAGATGCAAGAAAATGAAGTTATGATGACAGAGCTAAGATACAATCAACGATGAAGGTAGAGGCAGAACACCAAGTTTTACCATAATCCATTTGATACGTTAGATGGATACAACCCTTACACATCTGCAAACCTTATAAACATTCAATGTACTTGTTGTCTATCCATGTCAGAAAGCCTAGATTTATTTTATTTTTCTTGTAATGAAGTGTACTATAGATGGATAAATATTTCTTATTAATAGCATAATTGGACTTCAAAATTATGTGTCCCAAAGGGCCATATGTTTGTTCTGAGCAAGGAAAGGAAGGAGGGAGATCATCACTTCTTTTTATTGCCTTAAAATAATTGCCTACAACCAATGAACCAAAATCATGTTGAAAGATGGAAGCATATATATGGGAAGACGAATTGCTCATCAGTCAACAGTAGAAACATGTAATGATGTGTTAAACAAGAAGAACAGGCACCATAACTTTACCTAATCATCTGAATTTCCCATGTCATTTTTCCATTCAGTCACTGACGAATCAACTACAGATGCATTTTCTCTTGCAGTATCAGAAGACATATCCTTATTCACCTCCACCAATTACTATGCACATGGATGTAAAAAGTTTGAGCCAGACTCTGCTGCAGGACAAAGATTCAAGCCTGACTCTGCAGCAGGACAATGCAACTGTAGTTGGAAAAAGTAAAGTTTAGCAATCCTATTCAATATAAACAGTGTTTAGTATCAAGAATATCTACCACCACCAGCAGAAGTGGAGATAAATTACGGGTAGAAGGAAAAAAAAAGTCATAAAAGTATAAGAAAATATAACTATTCTATGTCAAAAGAGTGGGAGTTAGTAAACTAAAAACTAATTGCGTAAAGGAATTCCTCACGTTTTCCTTCTACCATTGTTTCTCAGCAACCAAGCAGACATAAAACGAAAAACAAGAGTTGAAAGAAAGAAGTGAGAGCAAGTACCTGTTTGAGAGGGGAAACCAAACAGAAAGCGAAACAGGAGAGTGTTGAAGTAGAATTACCAAGTGATTGCCTAAGTGTCTGTTTCTTGTCCTTGCCCGGCCGGTAGTAAATGAACCCTAACTTTTGTTTCCCTTTATTACTATTATTATTTTTTCAATTTTCGTTTCTTGGAAGTTGGAACTGAACCTCACAAATTATACGCTGAGGATATGTATGTGTATTTTGACCTTGTGCTTTATCCCATTCGCTGTGTCATGGCCCAGCATGTGGAATTAGGGATTTACGAAGGGGAATTGTGAAATTTGACTGGGCTAGGGATTTCTGGAAAAGTCATAGGGGGAGAAATGATACCACCTTATGGGCATGTGAAGTCAATTGAGGCGCACGTGACTACTGGATCTCTTGAAGAAGAAGTGGGCCGAAAACGAACAATGGTCCATTAAGCCTGCATTGCTATCCGATAACAAAGGAAGACAGTCGAAGAAAGGGGAATCAATTCTGTTGAGGAAGACATCTAGTTGTCATCTTTTAGTACAACAATTGCTTTGCTATATATATGAATTGCAACCAACAATGGAAGTTTTATGAATGAAAATACATCTGAATTCCTCTCTCAAATCTTTTTTTTTTCTAAGTCCCTTTCTTATAAAATTCAGCTTAATCTTGACATGCTGATTTTAAGATTGTCGATCCAGCAGCAGCAGCAGCAGCTTTAGAATGGTTGAAGGCTGTGGTGGACAAACAAGATAACTGTGCTTGTGTGCGTGAGCGAATCAGAGAAGATGTGCGTAAAAAAGATTCAAAGTGGGCCAATTCAGTTTAAACCCAGGTGCTAGATATGGACTATCATTGTACTTAGGCATGAGCCATGAACCATAACTATAATTGCGCATTTGAATGCGTAAGCATGGATCCAAGTCGGTTTGTTGGCTAGAAATGGAGAATACCTGGTTGGGTTCAAGCTTCTGTTTTATTATTCTCTGCTTCTTAAGATTTGCCTTGCTTTTCTTTTTTTTCTTCGTAATACTGAAATCAGTATTTAATATTTGTTTGAATGATAATTTAGTCTTTATTCTTTTTAGAGTAAGCCTTCAATGTTTTAACTTTTAGTCAAAATAATTTTTGGTAAATGAAAATCTTTAGTATTACTAACATGATATTTTCATATATATTAATGATGTGACATATGTCACGTGGCCTGATATAATAACATAATATATGTTACATCAATCAAAGTGATGACATAATAAATTGTCATCGAAAGTGATACATGACATATATCATGTTATTCAAGATGATAATGTTATATTTATGATATCATCTAAGATGATGTGATATATCACTATAAGTGATGACATAATATGTATCACATCAATAATTAAACATATGTAGAAATATTATATCAACAACTTCATTGACAATTAATTAATTAATTATTTTCATTTAACTCATGTTATTTTGATTAAAAATTAAAACATTAGAATTAAAATACTTTTAAAAATAATAGAGACTAAAAAATAATAGAGTCTAAAATAATTATTTAAATTGACATTAGGGACTTATTTTGACATTATTTCTTTAACTTGTGATTCTTCATTTTTCATTTTCAAAAGGGAACCCTCTCTGAGGTGCATTTCAATGACTCCTCATCTCCGTTAATTCAGAAGAGTTCCGCAGAGAGAAAGGAGACAAATTGAGGAAGAAAATGTAAACAAAGTTTGCTAAATTTCACAAACACGTGCCTAACATAAGAAGCAAATCAGTTCCCATTATTCAAATAAAGCAGATAAAGAAAAGCCAAGCAATGAAAAACAGACACCACAAAACAAGACAATATAGCATCACGACAATGAAAATAGAACAAGATATTTCTCAGTTAGACAGATCATCTTGTGTCTTCCTGAACAGCTTGTGCTCGATATGCTGAGCAAAGGTACGAGGAGGGAACAATGGAGGCTCTGTCTCGGACACTGTCTCCGGCAGTGGCTTGAGGATGATCTTATCCTTTGGCGGTTCACAGAAAACTGCCCATGAGATCCTAACCTTTTCCTTATTAACCAGACCCCTATGGAGAATGCTCTTGAACTTGCCGTTGCTGAGGATCTCGATGGTGTCTCCAATGTGCATGATGATGGAGTTTGGAACACATTTAGCAGTCACCCAATTGCCTTGGTAAAACAGTTGCAGACCAGGAACCATGTTGTGGAGGATGAAAGTGAGTGCACTTACATCCGTGTGAGCTTCGACGCCGAGAGCGAGTTCCGGTTGAGGACATTTGGGGTAGTAATTGATCTTCATTTGAAGAAGAAGCTCTTCCAACCCACCAACTTCCTTCTCTAACCTGCCTTCGTCCAATCCCAAGCAGAGTGATAGTGCCGAAAGTATTTTGCTGGCTAGGCCTCTCAGTTGCCTTGCATACTCACTTGTAACCTCACTGCATATGTATTAACCACTTAACATCAATGATGAATCGTTTTTCAATTTTCATAGGTAAACAAAGTTAAACTTATTAAGATTCATTGGTAGAAGGGATCGATATTCTATATAAAGGTTCGGATATTAATAATAATAATAAAAAGGCTAAACTTACGTGTAGTCGTTCGGGGTTTTAGGCCAGATCGACAAGTCTCTCTTGTCCTCAGGATAAACAAGATGGAAAAAATAATCTTCCCATTCAAGCTGCCCACTAGCATTGTTAGCAAGTTTGCTACCGTAGCCCTGAATCTTCCCTGAACCCTGGTCGTTGGCATACTTCTCTTTCTCCTCAATGGGAAGTTCAAAGAATTTCTGCCCAACTTTCCTGACACGATCCATGAGGTCATCGGAGATTCCATGGTTGACGAGGTGCATCACTCCCCACTCCGTCGCAGCTTTCTTCAACTCAAGCCTACATCTCTCGCGCACCTCCTTGTCCTCCGACTCGATCTCCTTTAAATCGATGGTGGGAACCTGAGGCCCTTCCTCCTTCTGCTCTTCTTCGAATACGTTGCCTACAGAAACAAACCAGAATGTTATGCTAGGGAACCAATTTCTAAAATATAAGATAATTAGAAATTTTCACAGGTGATTGTCGACCCTTCTAGATCCATTCCTGATGACCTATGCTTGCAAGCTCTTCCTGAGGTCTAATATACTCCTTTGGGATTGATTGAATCCCGCTGCTTGCCAAGCTCTCGACTCTGGGTGCGACTGAAGTCCCCATTCCCGGATGTCTAAACTCTATATTTTGGAAAAAGTTGTGTTTGCGTATTGCAGATTCTATCACGCTGGAGCGCAGGGCTTTTTATAGGGCTGCTGCGGAAGAAATATGGTCAGCTAAATATGAATAAAACAATGGGAAATGAAGCAATGAGTTGGTGGGTAGAGTGAAACTATTTTTGCTGGAAGTTGTGCACCTCAGTGAGTTAGTGAGTAGCCATGGTCAAACTGAGTTGACTGGAAGATAGGAGATTAGACTTAAAGAATTAACACAGATGTGTAAAATTCATTTAAAGGCCATCTATTAACATGTTAATATTTATATATAGAACTTATTAAAGGGTAGGAATGAATGTTTTTCCCTAAAGGATTTTAGTATGTTTAAAACTTTCTTAATTTATCAATAATGTTTTAGTATGTTTAAAACTTTCTTAATTTATCGATAATGTATACATATTCTACAAACGCAGTTACTCGAATTCAAGACCTCTAAGGAAAATAATATTCTTTTTTATCACTAAAGTCATTTCAGACTATTTAAAAAATAATATATATATATATATATACACCAATAAAATGAAGGGTAGATTATACAAATGGTCTCCCCACTATATGGCGCTACTTTATTAAGTTCCCCGACTATTAAAAGTTATAAAATGATCTTCTGACTATATGATGTTGCTTTGTTGAGTTTCTCGATTATTAAAAGTTACAAAATGGTCCTTCAACTATTCATAAGTTCCAAACTCGTCCTTTTTTGGTAAAAAAATGACAATCGTCTAAGCTGGACGTTAACATGCTGCCTAAGATATGATAGTCGTTTGAGATTCTAGGATCATGTTTTAGCATATATCAATCAACATAATAACATCCAGCTCAAACTGATGTTAATTATTTAACTGAAAATGACAAGTTTGAAACATATGAATAGTCAGATGATCATTTTGTGACTTTTAATAGTTTGAGGATTCAACAAAGCAACGTCCTATAATCAGATGACTATTTTGTAACTTTTAATAGTCAATTGTCTCAACAAAGCAACCTCCTATAATCAAAGAATCATTTGTGTAATTTACCCTAAAAGTGAATTGCTACCGTAGCTGTTCATTCTTTTCATCTTTTGGCAAAACTTTTGAGATAATGTTCTGGAAAAAATTAATTCACGAGATAAAGCACTCCCAAGATTAATTGCTCAAATAAAGTGAAATCCACAGTGTTGGCCGTAGGTCGCCATGTCTTCCCGGCGAGCTACAAGAGATTGCATGTGCCATGCACGTCCCAACACGCTGGGCATCCGAGGCCATCCGACCGAGGCCATCCGACCGAGGCCATCGAGAGCATCCGAGGCCATCCGAGGCCATCCGACCGAGGCCATCCGAACGTGCTATGCGAGGGCATCCGAGGGCAACCGAGCGAGCTATGCGAGGGAATCCGAGGGAAGCCGAGCGAGGGTAGGTCGCCCGGAGTGCATGGCGACCTACAAGGTCGTCCGGAGGGCATGGCGACCTACAAGGTCGCCCGGAGGGCATGGCGACCTATGTGTTGGGACGTGCATGTGCCATGCAACACGTTCATTCTCACGTTCATTCTCTCTGTTTGAGCAAGGGTAGGTCGCCCGGAGTGCATGGCGACCTACAAGGTCTCCCGGAGTGCATGGTGACCTACGACCAACACTGTGAATTTTACCCTATTTGAGCAATTAATCTTGGGAGTGCATTAGCTCGTGAATTAATTTCTTTCAGAACATTATATCGAAAGTTTTGCCTTTTCTTTTTCGTGGAAATAGAAAGCTTTTCCTTAAAGAAGAAAAAAATAAGAAAAAGAAAAGAGAATATATGTGAGTATGTGACAGCCAAACTTTCAACTACCAAGCCAGGAGCTGCACGTTTCATCTAACCATCTTTGGATTACTTAATTTGGTTCAGCCAAATCAATGCGCGGCTTCAAGGATTCAAATCATCTCATGCCCTGTTTTTTCATACTACATGTTTATAGTATAATTAAGAGTTCAAATCTTTATATTAAAAAACAATACACATTTAAATATATTTAAACTCGTATTCTCTTTAATATTATAATAA